TTTTTTTATTGCATTTTAGGTTTTGGGGTACATGTGCAGAGCATGCAATACAGTTGCATAGGTACACACATGGCAGTGTGTTTTGTTTGCTTTCTCCCCTTCACCCACATTTGGCATTTCTCCCCAGGCTATCCCTCCCCACCTCCCCCTCCCACTAGCCCTCCCCTTTTCCCCCCAATAGACCCCAGTGTTTAGTACTCCCCTAAGCTAAAATATCTTATGAAAACATACTGAACTTTTAATTCAAATTCAGGATAACAGGGCTGTTAGTTACCCTCTTTTATAACTATATCTGTATCTTCTTTAATACTGAAAGTCCTGGTTCTCAGGGATATGGGATGATAGAATAATTATTTACTTCATCCCACCAAAATGATTACCAAGAGCAGACAAAACTTTGTGTGCATAACTCATCCGCCCTGCCCTCCTTTACATAATTGTGCTGTCTACATTGGCAGAGTATGTATCCACTAAATACTATAGCTCTCCCATTTAACCTGCATAAACTCCTATTTTTGGACTTAGCTTTTCAAGTCACTACATATTAAACGCCCCCTATTAGTTCATATGTCAATCATTTTGGTTGTCTAGAAGCTTGTTCTCTAGATGATTCTTTAAAAGGCATATATAGGGGCCAGGCATGATGGTTCACGCCTGTAATCCCAGCACTTTGGGAGGCTGAGGCGGGTGGATCACAATGTCAGGAGTTCAAGACCAGCCTAGTGAAAACCCATCTCTACCAAAAATACAAAAAATTAGCCAAGAGTGGTGGCACTCACCTGTAATCCCAGCTACTCGGGAGACTGATGTAGAGAATTGCTTCAACCTGGGAGGTGAAGGTTACAGTGAGCCAAGATTGCACCACTGCACTGCAACCTTGGTGACAGGGCAAGACTCCGTCTCAAAAAAAAAAAAAAAAAAAAAAGCACTCACACTAACAGTATGTCTTATGTTTACTGTATGTTGATAACAGTCTGTGCCCTTTATATTTGAAAACCAGTTTTGGTGAAGTCTAGATCTGGCTCACATGATCTTAAAGAATCTTAAATATATGTTACTCCAAAAAAATTTTTTTGGTATGGCACAAAACCTTGCTTCAGGTTTAATGACACTCGAATTTTCTTATTAGTCACTTGTTCTTTTAGCCTAGATGCCCAAAACATATTCTTTTTCCTTAAACTCAGTAATTTTATCAGAATATATCCTGGTGTTGGTTTTTCTACATTGACATTCTCAGGTATACTGTGTGTTCTTTCAGTGGGTAGTTAAATTTTTTTTTTAATTTAGGAAAGTTTCCTTGAATTATCATTTTTAGTATTTGTTCTAATCCTGTGCATTGATTTTTTTCAGAGGTCTATTTCTCTGTATGTTGCTTATCTGTCACTCTCCCTTGAATCTTTAAAAAAATTTTATTTTTAAAAAAATATCAAAGTATAATCTACATACAATAAAATTCACTCTGTCTTATGATTCCTTTACAAATGCATAGCTATGTAACCACCACAATTAAAACAGGTAGTAGTTTTGGCACCTCCAAAAATCTTCCCTGTATACATAATTTGGTATTAAAACCACAGGAAAGACAAGAAAGTAACTACTATAGAAGTCAGGATAATGGTTAATTTTGGGAGCAGGGTGGGGGCTGTAACTGGCTGTGGCATATGGAGAAGGTTCTGGGTAAAGTTAAAAAAGTTCTAATTTTTGACCTGGGTAGTAATTACAAGACTTTTGGCCTCATAATAATTCATTAATAGGAAGTACAAGGTTCCATTCTACAAACCTATTCAACCAATAATTTATCCTCCGTAAAGATAAATGGTAAAGATGATTAACTGTTAAGGCATCTTTTGATTGGACACAGTGGCTCATGCCTGTAATCCCAGCACTTTGAGAAGCTGAGGTGGCAGGACTGCTTGAAGCCAGGAGGAGTTCAAGACCAGCCTGGGCAACAAAGCAAGACCCCCATCTCTAAGGAAGATTTTTTTTTTTTTTTGAGACGGAGTTTCGCTCTTGTCACCCAGGCTGGAGTGCAATGGCGCGATCTCGGCTCACTGCAACCTCTGTCTCCTGGGTTCAGGCAATTCTCCTGCCTCAGCCTCCTGAGTAGCTGGGATTACAGGCACGCGCCATCATGCCCAGATAATTTTTTGTATTTTTAGTAGAGACAGGGTTTCACCATGTTGACCACAATGGTCTCGATCTCTTGACCTTGTGATCCACCCGCCTCAGCCTCTCAAAGTGCTGGGATTACAGGCGTGAGCCACCACCCCCGGCCCTCTAAGAAAGATTTTTTTAAATATTAGGCAGGTATAGTGGCATCCATCTGTAGTCCCAGCTACTCAGAAGGGTGAGGTGGGAGGATCGCATGAGCCCAGGAATTCAACGATACAGTAAATTATGTATAATCATGCCACTGCACTCCAGCCTGGGAACAGAGCAAGACCTCATCACAAAGTATAATAATAATAAATTAAGAAAGGTTACTTTAGAGGAGTCTCTCCTCTTCCTTCTTATGTTGTATTATGGTGAGTTTTATACATATATATATGTTTTCATCCACAGTTCCTGGTTCCTAACTCCCATAGTCTTTGTTATAATGTTGGAGTGCTTAAGGCCTCAGGAAACAGGATCTCTCTCTGACCTTCTCCTGTCCTTCTTTCATCTGCCCAAGGCAGGACTCTAATCTGACTGTGGGTCAAAAGACCCTCATTCCAGACAGAGTCCTGCCGCATACTCTAGAGGAAGGAATGCTACAGAGAGCCCAAGAAAGGTCTGAGCAGATGTGCCTTGCTTGTTCAATGATCACATTTCTACAGTTGTCAACCATACCTATGCAATGAATTCTCCATAAAACCCAAAATAACAGGGTTCAGAGAGCTTCTAGATAGCTGAACCCATAAGATTCCTCCTTAAGGGTGGTATGCCCAGGGAGGGCATGGATGCTGTACTCCTTCTTCCCCTACACCTTGCCCTATGCATCTTTTCATCTGTATCCTTTGTAACATCATCCTTTAAAATAAACTGGTAAATGTAAGTAGATGTTTCTCTGAGTTATGTCAACCACTCCAGCAAATTAATTGAACCTAAATAGGGGGTTGTGGAAACCCCAACTTGAAGCTGGTCAACGTTCTAGAGGCCCAGACGTGAGACTGGTGACTCAAGTAAGAGAGGGAAATCTTGGGGACTGAGTCCAGACTATGGGATCCAATGCTACCTCCAGGCAAATAGTGTTGGAATTGAATCGGAGGGCACCTAACTGGTGTGTGGGGAAAAGAAACCCACACCTTTGGTCACAGAAATCTTCTTTTGTGTTGATGATTGTTGTGATGGTGTGAGAGCAAAGAAAAAACATGGTTTGAGAGTTTTTCCCTATACATGTATACAGGACTTTCTCCCAAAGTTCAGGGTAAGCAAAGAAGAGTGATTCAAAATCACCAAGGAGTTCACAGCATGTGGTGGAAGGAGAAGAGGATGGAGGAGAATCTCCTTAGCCTCAGAGGTCTGTATCAATGACCTGAGTGCCTTTCTAGTGTATTCCAATGCTTTAAGAAAGGGGAAACTTCCTTTTAAGCAAAGGAATTATAATTCAAAAACTGCTAATAAGGGCTGAAAAAAGGAGAGATAAATATAGTTAAATGCCAATCCTGCAAAATTTAAAAAGGAAAAAATAGGAGTAGTAACTGCCTGTGCTTTGAGAATAACTACAAAACAAGAGTGCATATTTCTCTTTGAGCTCCCCTGGCACAGAAAGCCAAATCTGACAGGAGAGGAAAGAGAGAAATTTTACCCTCCATGACCATACCTACTTACTGAGCTGAACTTGGTTTAGTAAAGTCCAGCACTCTAGAAATCAGAAGAGGGAAAACAGGAGAGACCCATGTGTGTACCGACCCCTACTACAGCTGCAAAGGCAGGCATTTAAATTTACTCTATAGGTTAACCAGAAATTTTGAGCTGAGAAAGGAGGAATGCTATGATCATTATTTCCTTTTTGCTTCCTGTTACAGCACTTTCATACCTAGACTTGTTATGTTTTGTCTATTAGTTATTTATACTTGCACACTCCCTAATGTCATAACCTCCATAAAAAGAGGAACTTTTATATATCTTCCATGCACGTGGGCCAGGACCAGGTAAAATGTTTTACACACACATATGCTGAGTATGCCTGGTGCGTTAAACTTTTAAAAATCAAGGGCAGTCAGGTCAAACAGAAAATTGGTTCTGTACTATTTCAGAAGGCAAAAATCAGAAAGGAAAGTAAGGGGGAGCATATTAGGCCAACAGTAACACAAAACTTCATTAGCACTGGTTGCCCTGAGAAGTAATGTCCCTTCACCATCTTTGAAATATTTTAAAAGAGGCTGTGTGCCCACTGGCAGACATGCCGGGGAAAGGATATCCTTCACATTTGAAGGTTCATGTATTTCTTTGAATATGTCCAGATTGAATTAAAAGGGAAAGGGAAATTTGACATCTGCTTCAAACTCCTAAGATTATGTGTTTCTAAATAAGGCTGTCCTCAGTGACTCAGACTGAGAACCCAATGAAGAAAATAAGGAGAAACAAATCTACCCCAAAATCTATACAGGTCATCCATTCAAACCCCACTAGAAATCTATCATTTGATAATTCCTACTTTATCATTCCAACTTTATCAGAGAATCAAATACCAGAACAAATAGTTGACTGGGCATTAGCATTTTACATGTGTTATTTTCATTTCATCCTTGTTATTTTACATTTATATATTTTGTAAGAGGACACTAATACTGAGAAAATATGCAATGAATGGGTTTTGAACTTTGACTCAAATCATATTCTTTTCATTGAACCTTCTAACTTCTAAGGTAAGTTACTAAAATACAATCATTTATAAATGTACTACATTCGTAAAACATTATCATTGTTTCTTTTGTGTATTGGAATTAGAAATCTCACTATCTCACTTTACTACCATATCTTAATTTCCATACTAAATTCATGCTTTCATGTCTTACCACTTATTTCAAGCTCTGCCCAGTGGGATTTCTTTCCATTTGCTGCTTCCTCAGTAGACATAATTGTATACATCCTCCGAGGGTCAGGGGGCTCGTATTTTTCTTTGGGCATGCCTGTTAAAAAAAGAAACCAATCAGCATTCTAAAAAATCAAATAAACAAAAGCCACAACATCACTTTTTTTTTAAGACAGAGCCTCACTCTATTGCCCAGGCTGGAGTGCACTGGAGTGATATCGGCTTACTGCAACCTCTACAAGCGATTCTTCTGCCTCAGCCTCCCAAGCAGCTGGGACGACAGGCGCGTGCCACCATGCCCAGCTAATTTTTTGGATTTTAGTAGAAACAGGGTTTCACCATGTTAACCAGGATGGTCTCAATCTCCTGACCTCGTGATCCGCCTGCCTCGGCCTCCTAAAGTGCTGGGATTACAGACGTGAGCCACCATGACCGGCCCACACCACCTTTTAAACGTGGACACCCATATTATAATCTAGCTAATAAATGCAAAATCTCTACCATCTTCCACTAAAAGAACTTCTTGCAGAAACTGATTATTTCAAGTGCAGGACAAGACAGATACAAACAAGCTGAGAAGCTAACAAGGGTGCAGCTATGGCAGACACAGGAGCCAGCTTAAAGAAACTTCCACTGGCCAAATATGAGACAATCCGAACATCACAAGAATGACTGCAACTGAGTCATTATGAATTTCATGAGTTCATAATTTTATCTGAAAATCAAAAAACTTAAGTCACCTGAAAATTGTAAATTAAAAGAATCGGCCGGGCGCAGGGGCTCACGCCTTTAATCCAACACTTTGGGAAGCCAAGGCAGGTGGATCACGAGGTCAAGAGATCGAGACCATCCTGGTCAACATGGTGAAACCCTGTTTCTACTGAAAACACAAACATTAGCCGGGCATGGTGGCGCATGCCTGTAGTCCCAGCTACTCAGGAGGCTGAGGCAGGAGAATCACTTGAACCCAGGAGGCGGAGGTTGCAATGAGCCAAGATCGCACCATTGCACTCCAGCCTGGGTAACAAGAGTGAAACTCCGTCTCAAAAAAAAAGAAGAAAGAAAAGAAAAGAATCAAACAATTATCCTACATTTCTGGCAGAAACTAGGTGAGTGATTGTTTTTAACAAAATTCTAGCTAATAAATGCAAAAAGTTACATAATTAGAAAATAATCAGTTTACAATCTCTAATAAAATAATGGCAATGATTATCAATAGTTAATAAAACCATTAAGTGGGAAAAAAAATCAGTGGAAAATTTTCAAATGGATAGATCAGGTTAAAACAGCAGTTCCCTACCCTTCTGGCCCCATGGACCAGTTTTGTGAAGACAATTTTCCACGGATTTGGTGAGGTGGGGTAGTTTCAGGATAAAACTGTACCACTTCAGATGATCATGCATTAGTTAGATTGCATCACAAGGAGCATACAACCTAGATCCGTTGCATGTGCAGTTAACAAAGGGGTTTGCACTCCTATGAGAATCTAATGCTGCTGCTGATCTGACGACATGAGGCAGAACTAGGCAGTAATGCTTGCACACCTGCCGCTCACTCCTGCTGTGCAGCCCAGTTCCTAACAGGCCATGGACAAGTACCAGGGTTGAGAACCTCTGAGCTAGAAGACCTAAATCCAATGATCGGTCTCATCATTAGGACAACCAAACATCACGTGCCTCCCAATAAGACACTATGAGAAGTACACATAAATCACCTATGTCCATGACCCCTCACCAACAAAAACTGAACCTGAATCAAATCAAGCCTCTCCAGATCTGATACTAGTTTACAGAAAGTAAGAGATCTAGAGGAATATGTTTAAAGTAACACCACAGGACACAACCATGTGAATATAACTTTATACTACCAAATGATACACTTGGTTATGATAGCAACTATCAATTTTACCACAATTAAAAATTTTTTCAATTAAAAATAATACAAGAACACAGTCAGCCAGATGCAGAATATAAAAGAATGACAAAAGACCAGATTTCTTGAACAAATCAATGGTCTGAAAAAAGAAGAGTAAGATGAAACATATGGAATAAATGACTTAAGAGGCACAGCAATCAAAGGCAATGTACAGAGCTTGTTTAGTCCCAAATTGAACAAACCTGGGTTTTCTGATTTTGAAAATCAGAGAAAGTTGAAAGTGGACTAAATATTAGTTAATATTAAAGAAGTACTGTGATTCAAGCACAGTGGCTCATGGCTGTAATCCTAGCACTCCTGTGAGTCTTGAGCCCAGGAGTTTATGAGACTGGCACCAGCCTGGGCCCCATCTCTTACTAAAAAAAATTAAAAAGTAGCCAAGCATGGTTGTATACACCTGTAGTCCAGCAACTCAGGAAGCTGAGGTAGGAGGATTGCTTGAGCCCAGGAGGTTGAGGCTGCAGTGAGATGTATGTGCCTGCACTCCAGCCTGGGCAACAGTGAACCCTGTCTCAAAAAAAACGTATTGGCCGGGCATGGTGACTCACACCTGTAATCCAAGCACTGTGGAGGCCAAGGAGGCAGATCACCTGAGGTCGGCAGTTTAAGACCACCTGACCAACATGGTGAAACCCCCCGTCTTTAAAAAAAAAAAAAAAGGTATTATGGTTATATGTGATTTTTTTTTTTTTTTTTTTTTTTTTGAAACAGTTTTGCTCTGCTGCCAGGCTGGAGTGCAGTGGTGCGATCTCAGCTCACTGCAACCTCTGCCTCCCGGGTTCAAGAGATTACCCTACCTCAGCCTCCTGAATAGCTGGGACTACAGGCACGCGCCACCACACCTGGCTAATTTTTTGTATTTTAGTGGAGACGGGGTTTCACCATGTTAGCCAGGATAGTCTCGATCTCCTGACCTCACGATCCACCTGCCTTGGCCTCCCAAACTTCTGGGATAACAGGCATGAGCCACCACGCCCAGGCTGTATGTGATTTTTTTTAATCCTTGTCCATAATAGATGATACATTCTAAAATATTTAGGTGAAATAAAACATCACTCCCATGCATATTCCCTCAAAGCCCTTGTTCCTGTCTCGCTTTTATTCTTTTGGCTAAACCATAATCCTGATCTAACCAATTGTCCACCTACTCTGTATACCCATGCAGCTAACACAGCTGGAGAAAAACCTATGACCATGTGAGCCTAAAGTGAGCCAGTCAGCAATAATTTCTCAGACTCTATATACTACCCAGAAATAATACCGGAAATTCCTAATCTATCCCCTTCTCCTAGATGACCTCTGTCTTCAAACCTCCAACACCTACTCCTACAACCTCCCTCTAAGCTGATGACCTTACTTCTATTTTCACAATGAAACAGAAGGGGATACAAACTCACACGTATACCAATCTATCCCTTCCCTTAACATGTAAGCTATTTGTGCACGTCTATCCACCCCATCATTCTGCCTACTCAAGGACAATCCCTTCCCTCTTCTCATCACATTATGCCACCCTACTGGATCTTTACTTTCAGCACACATTCATGTGGTATTCTTTCCTCTATTTAAAAAAATGTCTTAACTTCATTTCTCACTCCAGCTACTTCCCTTCTCTCATTCTCTCTATAGCAAAAACAATCCTCAGGAGTTGTCTATGTTCTCTTCTATTCTCCTCCTCCCAGTTAAACTCATTCAAATGAGTAAGTGTTTTTAACATTTCACCAAAAACTATCAAGAAGAAACCCAGTAGCCAGGCACAATGGCTTACGCCTGTAACTCCAGTACTTTGAGATGCTGAGGGGAGAAGATCACTTGAGCCCAGGAGTTCAAAGCTGCAGTGAGCCATGATCATGCCACTGCACTCCAATCTGGGTAACAAACCATGACCCTGTCTCTGACAAATTTCTTTTTTAAAAAAAGAAGAAACCCAGTGATTTTATATTCTTCTTTCCAATGGTCACTTCTCTGACCTCTTTTTGCTTATGTTCATCATTTGATATAGATGATCACTCCCTCTTTGAAACACACTGCTCAGTTCCTAGGATATCTATTTTCTTGATTTTCCTCCTCTCTCCCTAGATTTAGTTTTTTTGCTAGTTCTTCCTGCAGAGTTGCAATTATCTCCATTTTACCAGAAAACAAGCTCAAAAAAGGTTTAAGCAATTTGCCCAGTGTTACAAGGCTAGGAAATAACACAGTCAGGCTTTGAATGAGTCTGATTAAAAGTTAAAGCTAATGGCCAGGCGCGGTGGCTCACGCCTGTAATCCCAGCACTTTGGGAGGCCGAGGCGGGCGGATCCCAGCTAATACAAAAATTAGCTGGGCTTGGTGGTGGGCACCTGTAGTCCCAGCTACTCGGGAGGCTGAGGCAGAACTGCTTGAACCCAGGAAGCGGAGATTGCAGTGAGCTGAGATTGCACCACTGCACTCCAGCCTGGCTCCTGGTGACAGAGCAAGACTCTGTTTCAAAAAAAAAAAAAAAGTTAAAGCTAATTTAATTATGCTAGGCTGCCTCCCTGCTGACAGGAAGTAGAACTACTTTTTTTTTTTTTTTGACTCAGGGTCTTACTCTGTCACCCAGGCTGGAGTGCAATGGTACAATCTCTGCTTACTACAGCCTTTACCTCCCAGACTCAAAAAACATCCTCCCCTCAGCTTCCCATGTAGTTGGGACTACAGGCATGTACCACCAGACCCGACTAATTTTTGTAGAGATGGGTTTTCACCATGTTGCCCAAGCTGATCTCCAACTCCTGGGTTCCTGCGATCCGCCTGGCTCGGCCTCCCAAAGTGCTAGGATTACAGGCATGAGCCACTGCACCTGGCCTACTTTTCAAACATAGAAATGGGTTTTGACTGTATAGTTAAAGCACAGAAGGAGGTAAGTAATCCTAAAAAGCTGCTTGAAATAAGAATATAAATGGCCAGATAAAACAAATTGGTCTCATACATTAATTTCTCCAATATAGAAATATAATAACTGCTGGTTTTAGACTGATACAAAATACCCAGTACAGAAAGGTAAACATAAAGAAGTGTTCATTCTATCTAGAGGACAATGTGGAAAAGGAAATGTCCTTTCTGAATGACATGAATATATCAGTAATAACCTAGAAAACATAAAATGCTCTGTTCTGTGCTACCAGAGCTTGATGACAAACA